GGGGGGGGGGGGGAGGGTGGAATATAATGCTTGGATATTTAGTGGATGCATTTAATAAATAAATATATAGCAGAGTTCAGTGTATTTGGAAGGTTCATTTTTGGTAGGACACCTTGATTGCCTCCCCATGAGAACATGGAAAGAGTGTTTCAGGGGGAAAAGAAACACTCCTCCTACCTTTTCATCGCAGGATTATTCATATGTTCATCTTCTAAAAAAGTACCCACAAGTCAGGTTTGCTGCCAGCACTGGAGAACCTAACATTAGACTGGGTGGGGGGTGGGAATAAAACATAATTATCATGGAAAACTTTTGGTCACAGTCCAGAAAACTAAGAAAGAAATAACATTTTTCAGTACCCAAATAATTTTATTGGCTAGTTTCTTGAAATATATTTGATGGTATTATAATAAAGTTTAAAAACATGGAGAAATGATGAATGACTCAAGGTCTCACATTCATACAATGTCTACAGTAGCTGACACTGCAAGACTCATGAACTCCTCTAATCTTTTTGTTGCCCCACTTGATCCTTTTCAAGGAGATAGGAGTCTTTATGAAATAACCTGAATTATGCAGGCAAACATCTTCTCCAAGGCCTACAGAGAAAGCCAACAGAAGGAACTTTGTTATTAACTAGCATTACACACTGTAAGAATCTGAACTAGAGTCTTGGGAAAACCAGCAAATGTTTCCTTAGTATCTGGAAAGTGTAGTGGTTGGGGCCAAGACCAAATTTAAATATGATACAATTACACTGAAATTTAATAAGATTGTAGTTAGTATAACTCTCCAATCATGTCTAGAATAATTTTCCACTGACTTCTGTCATATACACACATACACACACACTTTGGTGATTAAAAAAAAACTCTGAGGACTAGAAACAGCTGTGGCCTTCAGGCGGTTTGCCTGACACAACAAAAAGACTTAATTAGGGGAGGATAAATCATAGTATGTTACTCTCAACCACCCAAGGAAATCCTTAAGATTGGAAAACTGATTCAGCTGAAACATCTGGTGCTGATCCAAAAAATCATATGCAATGAAATATATGTAGGTAAGCTAGCAAAATTAATAATGGAAAAATATTTTACATGGAACAATGAAATGTGTCAGATATCATGGATTCTATGTAGGTCCCACACTTCTGTCCTCCAAAAGTTGAGAATACAACTTGAACTTCCCAGGCAGTAACTCCAAATACTCAGGCTTCAGTTTTTTCCTGCTAAAAAAATGACAGTTACACACAGGCTGGTTTCCAGCCAAGCTGTTATGAAATCTTAACCTTCCCATTTCTAGGCCTCTTTTTTTCTTTCTGCTACCTTCCCTCTGCTCAGTAACTCTAAATACAGAACTATTCTCTCCCCTGCCCACCCTAGGAACACAGAGTCAGTTAATTATGCAATCTGCCCACTCACTCCAAAACAACCCCAAACAGATCTTCAGATCATCTGTTACAGTTTGAAGGCAGAAAACACAACACTCACAAAATCTGGAATGTAGCACAACTTGAAAGACCTATTCGGGAATCTATGAGCTGGTTCTCCAGCATGTCCACCCTGGTCATTTCATCACCTGTGGCAACAAAGTGTCCTTCAAAAGTAGGAATCTGCTTCTGGGCAATCATTTGAAGGAAATCATTTTCATTTTAAGGCATCACTGAAGAGGAATCAAAAATGTTCATATATCTTGTTTGTCCAAGCCCAGCTTCCTCTTCACATTAGTCCACTGACTTGTATCAAAATTAGAAACTGTAAGTAGAGATATGAATAGTTAATGCAAGTCCACTTGAGCAGATTGGGCAAGATGGAGATGTGGTTGCAACAACAGCAGAGATACGCACACATAGTTTTGGCATCCCTACAGCAGAATGCAGTTGTGGTAACTCTTAACAAAGGTCACTTTCAGTTAAGGCTGACCTGTCAATTCCTGATTCCAGTGCTACCCCGCTCTCTCACTGCTTTGTCTCCTCCCCACCAAAGCCATTCTTTGAGAAAATGCCAAAATCCATTTTTCACCTTTTTTGGGCATGCAGCACTGACCTTTTGTCAGCCCTTCAAGGTAGATAGTCTAGATAGGACACCAATGCTAGTGGTAGGTCTAATTTACTAGTAGGTCAATACTACTTTTACTGTAATGCTATAATAGCAGAATCTTGCAAGTCTGAATGTGCTTCTCCCTCTCTCCCTTTATCTCTGTGTGAACGAGAAAGGGGCTTGTCTGAGATGTTTTCTCACATTACATTCTTGGCCCAGGCTCAGCCCTTTTTCTGACCGTTGTCTTGGCAGCAGCTATTCCTCCTGTCCCTCAAGGTCATTCCCTTTGTCTTCTACATCACCTTTCCCATCAGCCTCAGTCCTTCCTCCCATGTTCCTAGAGAAATCTGAGTCTGGGCCATGGGAACAAAGTGCAGATATGCGATTCCCATCCTGCTGGCAGCTCCCCAAGATCACTCAACAAGTCCTGTAATCCAGTTGAGAGGTGACTCCCCCCACCCACTTTCTTCCTGCTATGCTGCCCATTCTTCATTTTCCCATTCTGGAAGTTGTTGTCCCCCCACCCCAAGTCCTTGCATCCCAACAGTCTGTGTCCTGGCTTCCAGTCTTTCAGGAGGATTTTACTTCTGGTGGAATCAAAATTGCTTGGTTGCAGTATGGCATTAGCAATGATGGAGGGGGTTAAGTAGGATGGGTCTTACTCAGGCTTATGTGAGAGGGCATCTGGAAGCTTGTTCTGTGAGCCTTGAATATTGGAAATATAAAAATCAAAATGGGAGAAAAATTGTACCCACCTGATTTGTTGAGGAGTGAGGGACTGTGCCTTCTGTAGAACTAAATTCTTGTGGTCTGTATGAATTTGTATTGGGCGGGCAGCCTCTTCCAGAAAGTGCCTCCATTGTTGGAAAGCAGTTTTCACTGCCAGCAACTCTTCATTGAAAGTCTCATAGTTCCTTTCTGCTAGAAGAAGCAACCTGAAATAAAAGGCACATGGCAGTAGATCTGTCCCCTGCCTAGAGGGGAATGGCTCCTACTACCACACCTGAAGCCTTGGCAGGTACTATGTATTGATGGGTGGGGTCTGGGTGTCTGAGTACTGGCTGAGAAGTGAAGGTTCTTTTAACTCTTGAAACACCTTTTGCTCTTGAGTAGACCATAAGAATTTATTACCCTTTTTTTAGGAGTGGAGACAGTTGGGCAAAATTAGGAATGAACTTCTGGTAGAAGTTAGCAAAGCCCAGAAAATGTTACACATCTTTCACATGGGGGGCGGGGGTTGCCATGTTAGAATAGATTGTACCTTTGTGTACTCATCTAAAGTGTCTGAAAACATTTCATTCATGAATCTAGAGAAGACAGCCCCGCTATTAACCAAGCTAAAAAGCATCACTGTGTATTCAAACCTGCCATACCTTCTATCAAATGCAGTCAAGTATTCATGTCTTTCATTCATTCTGATCAAATTGTAAGCACTTAAGTCCAATTTTGTAAAAATGCATTTCTCTTGGACGTGGTCCAGGACATCCAAAATAAGGGGTAGAGGATAGTGGTCTGTAATAATCAGATTTTTGTAGTCATGCACAATCTTCATGCTCCACCCAGTTCCTTTCTGAATTCCTGCTGCCCCCTCCCCACAGTTCCTGTCACCTCTCCGCTGCTTCTGTCACACCCCTCCTCCTTTTTAGTGGCAAAAAACGAGTGCAGATGCTGAGGATTTGGAAGGGCGAATAAATCCTTTTTTTATGTTCATATCCAAATATTCCTTCAGGATGGCTAACTCATGAGCAGACATCTCTTCACTAGAATCTTGGCTCCTGGCTTCAGATTGATGGTGCAGTCACAGACTCGATGGGGAGGCAACACAGTTACCTCTTCTTCCCCAAATACATCTGAGTATTTCTCTGGCAAGGTAGTAGTTCCATTGTGCTGTGTCAGACCTGGAGAGGGGGGATGTGCAATGCCTGCAGTTGGTGTTGCCAGATTTAGGGGATGGGAATGAAAGTGTCCCTTGTGTCCAACCTACATCTGGATCATGTAACTGCAGCCATTCAATTCCCAAGACAATGGGCACTTGCTTGCTGCATGTTCTGTAGATTTACAGGTTCTGCATCTCATTGCTGTGTCAGAGATGTGGGAATAGAATGACCTGACCCTGATTCACCAGTTCAGAGAAGGGCTTGCTGAAGAACCGAGAGATAAGCTGGTGAGGCAAGTCACCCCAAATAATTTGGAAGAACTGTTCCAACATTGTGTGATAATAGGTAGCAGGCTGGAAGAGTTGAGGCAGGGAAGAAATGGCAAGGGGAAAAGGTTTTATAGCCTCTCTTCTCATAGAATCATAGGGTTGATTCTAGTCCAACCCCCTGCCCAAGGCAGGATCCTCATACCATCTTGGACAAATGGTTGTCCAATCTTTTCTTGAA